CACACAGAATCCCCAGAACCAACAGAAAATACTGTGTTTTCTTATGATCTTTGGCAACCCCTCTGACACCCTCTTGTGACCTTCCCCCCCCCCAGCGCCCCGACCATCAGGTTGAGAAATGCTGGTCTAACTGGTGAATTGTCTGTGTCTATCTTCAAGTTGCCTGTTGACATGGTAACCCCATGACTTTCACAGGGTTTTCTTAAGCAAGGAATACTCAGAGGTGGTTTTTGCCATTTCCACCCTATGACAAATCGCCTACAGCACTTGGTATAGGTTGGTGGTCTCTTGTCTAAGTATCAACCAGGGCTGACTCTGTTTAGTGTCCAAGATCAGACAAGATCTGGTGCCATTAAGGTAGTGTATTATTTACATAAGCTTGTTAAATGCCAACATCATCCTAAAATTTAATTAACTTGGGGCAATCTGACCAGGAATGTTTTTCAACCTGGAAAGCATCATTTGCAAAAGCGTATTATACTAAACAGTAAGTGCAATAGAATCATTTGTGAAAAACAAGATCAGACATACTGTAATTCATATAGTGAGTGTGCTCCAAATGTTGTTGGACTGCTGCTTTCATTGGCCCTTCCCAGCATAGCCAGTGATGAGAAGGATGTTAACAGATCAAAAACATCTGAAGGGGGCTATCTCTTTCATTTTCAATGTACATCAGGAATGGGCATCCCAGCTAGAGGAAATAATTTAAAATGTGCTGTGAAGTTTTCTGGGCTGTATGGCCATGTTCCAGAAGTATTCTCTCCTGATGTTTTGCCCACATCTATGGCAGGCCGCCTCAAGAGGTTGTGAGGTCTATGGGAAACTAGGCAAGTGGGGTTTACGTATCTATGGTATGTCCAGGGTGGGAGAAAGAACTCTTGTCTTCTTGGCCACCTTGATTAGCCTTGCAACTTTAAAATCTGGCTGCTTCCTGCCTAGAGGAAAGTAGTTCTCAAGCTGGGGTCCCCAGATGTTTTTGGCCTACAACTCCCAGAAATCCCAGCCAGTTTGCCAGCTGTTAGGATTTCTGGGAGTTGAAGGCCAAAAACATCTGGGGACCCCAGGTTGAGAACCACTGTAGAAGGTGTTAGCTGACCCTGTTGTTCCCTGTCTGGAATTCCCCCCATTTTCTAAGTGTTGTTTTTTATTTACTGTATTGCTTTTAGCGTTTTTAAAATACTGGTAGCCAGATTTTGTTCATTTTCATGGCAGGACAAGAGTTCTTTCTCCCACTCTGGATATTCCACAGATATATAAACCCCGGCAGATCTCACAACCTGCCATAAATGTGGGTGAAACATCAGGAGAGAATGCTTCGGAAAGTTTGCCCATGCCTGGTGTACATATTTAGGAAGAGTGCTTCCACACATACACATGCAAACATAATTATGCAGCACTGAAAAGGAAGCAGAAAAGAATGAAACAGCAATGTGGTAGATTATAAGATCCTGAACAGCAGCCTTGATATATCTTCAACTGTCCTTTAGTTTAAAATCGTCCTGGCACATCTTGTTAATTATTCTCCATATTATTCTGATCCTAAAATTAAATATTCTGTTCCTCCCCCCCCCCTCCACTTTTGTATGCAAAAGTAAACAAGAATAGCAAATTCCTTATTTTTCAGGGCTACCAGCATCCTTGAGTCAGAGATAAGAAGTCTGTGAAGTTTGTAGTTTTTGTGATAAGAGTAGATTATGGGCTAAAGGATTAACTCGGAGAGGAATGTGTGCCCTCCTACTGTCCCAATGTGGGGGACATCCCACGTTTTAGCTACTTCCAAAATGTCCTTGGTTTTGCTTTACTCCTTTCTGCTTTTTAGTTTACTTCAATTAGTGTAAACAATAGTTTGCACTTACATTAGTTCAACAGGGGAAAGTTTTGCCCTTCCTAGTAAACTTGGACACAAGCAAATTGTTGCAGCCTCCCTTAGTTTTTCTGTTTTACCCTAATTAATAACTCAAGACTACGTTCTGATGTTGTTTGACCACATGTGTCACAGGTTTTGCCTGGAGGGTAAGGGAATGGGATGAAATAGTTCGATGTTGGAGAAGTTAGAAGCTAAGACTTGCGAGAGTACATCTATAACAGGTATGGCCAAACTTGGGTCCTCCAGGTGTTTTGGACTTCAACTCCCACCATTCCTAACAGCCTCAGACCCCTTCCTTTCCCCCCTCAGCCGCTTAAGCGGCTGAGGGGGGAAAGGAGAGGGCCTCAGGCTGTTAGGAATGGTGGGAGTTGAAGTCCAAAACACCTGGAGGGCCCAAGTTTGGCCATGGCTGATCTACACTGTAGAATTAATACAGTTTATCACTAGCTGTGGCTCAGTGCTGTGGAATCCTACATTCGTACTTTGGGGTAGGCTGACTTGGTAAACTACAACTCCCAAGACTCCATAGCACTGAATCGTGGCAGTTTAAGCCGTTTCAAACTGCATTAATTCTTGAGCGTAGATGTGTCCAGAATCTTCTACACTGAAAATTTTGGTAGAAGGTAAGGGGTTTAATTGCCTGAATCCAATTGTTTGTCCTAGCTAGAAGAAATCCTTTAAATTAAATTGCTGAATGGCAAATCAATACTTCTGTCAATCACCTTGATTCAGTGAGTCTACTCTAATGAGGATTAGCAGCTGAATGTGCATCAACATTTTTTCCCAGAGGGAGAGTGGATACTTTTTAATTTGGGCAGCCCAATAATTTATTTGTGAAGGCTCATTTGCAAAACACTGGATGGTTTCATAAACCTTTATCTTCTTTTTACTAACACTGTTTTTAAGCATATGCCATAAATTGCAAAAATGTAAAAGCAACAAAAGTATGCTTGCATATAGGCACGCATGATGTCGGTACTCTTGTTGGGAAGCTAGGATTAGACATGGCTTCTTTTACAAGCATATATGGTGGCAAAATTGAAATAAAATTAAAAATTAAAGCCCTGGCAGACCGTGCAAAAAGAATCTGCAAAGCCCACCTCCTCCAAGGTGAACTGAACCACCTAAACTGGGCTCTACAGGCCAATGGAGACTCCACCACAGACATCAAAAGAGCTGCAAGACCAAGAACAAGCCACGAGACTCAAGACAAAGATCCACCCAGAGGGAAAGTGTTCTTACCATACATCAAGGGAACCGCTGACCACATAGGGAAGCTGGTGAAGAAACACAACCTACAAACTATCTAAAGACCCACTAAGAAAATCCAACAAATGCTACATTCAGCAAAGGACATGAGGGATCCCCTCACCTCTGCAGGAGTCTAACATATACCATTCAGCTGTGGACAAGTCTACATAGGGACCACTAAATGCAGCATTGCCCAAACACGAATCAAGGAACATGAAAGGCACTGCAGACTACTTCAACCAGAGAAGTCAGCCATAGCAGGGCACCTGATGAACCAACCTGGACACAGTATATATTATTTGAGAACACATAAATGCTGGACTACTCCAACAACTACAATGTCAGACTACACAGAGAAGGCATTGAAATCCACAAGCATGTGGGCAAATTTCAACAGAAAGGAAGAAACCAAAGAACAAAATCTGTCCACCAGTATTAAAAAAAATTCTAAAATCAGGACAGTAAATAAAGAGCAATACTAAAAAAAGAGGAATTCCAGACAGGAAGCAATCAGGGCCAGCTAACACCTCCCAACAAAGGATTCCCTCAGGCAGCAACCAACCAGACTTTGAAGCTACAAGGTCATTAAATGCTAATCAAGGTGACCAATGGCAACATTTACACCTGCCTCTAGCAGACAAGAGGTTTTTTCCCACCCTGGACATTATTCCACAGATATATAAACCCCACTTATGTAGTTTCCAACAGAGCCCTCAACCACTGAGGATGCCTGCCATAGATGTGGCTGAAAGGTCAGGAGAGAATGCTTCTAGAACATGGCCATACAACCTGGAAAGCTCACAACAACCCAACATTGAAACAGCTGTGAAAAAAGCTAAGATTGTCTCTGTGTGTTTGGGTGCCTTCGAATCACCTGTTGACCTATTACAATCCTATGGATTTCATAGGAGTTTCTTAGCTAAAGAATGGTCACAGATGGCTTGGCCAGTTCCTTCCCTTGCAATCTAACCTACAGCACCTGGTATCCATTTGTGGTCTCCCATCCAAGAAGTAACTCAATCAGGTATAATTCTTCCCTTTATATGAGACACCAAAATGGTTAGGGGAGCATCTGTCCTGCTGTAAGGGGGGAAAAAGTAAGTCAAGAAATTGCAAAAGGTTTCATGCGAAGCCAGGGCTCATATTCCCAGCTTGCAGCTTTTTTTGGCGTTTATTTTTGTTTTGCCGTTTATTTTATACTACTGTAATTCCCTCTTTTTGCTGCTTGACAAACCACTGGAGGGGCCTCTCATTGGGGCTGAAGCAGGGTGGGAACAGCACAGAGACAAGCTGTTTGCTCCCTCTACCCGTGGCTTGCCCACTGCTCACGTGATCCTACAACATCTGGATCATATTAGGCAAGGCCTAAAGCCGCAGGAATGCGAGCTGCTGAGCGGATGAGTCTGCATCCTAACTTCTCCGCTGTGTGTTTGTGGGGCGGGAGATCCGTTACCGACAACAGACAGGATCCAGGCGTCCTGGGACAATTTTGAACAAACCGGTGAAGTTTGAATCATAGTTTATGACTGATAGAAACTTGAGAATCTGGAGGTTGTGGGAGTTCTCTGAAAGGGAATGTGGGATTACTGAATTAAACATTAGGACTTGGTTCTCTAAATGTAATTGTGGGCTTTGGAAGAGAAATACTTTTAGTAGTTAAAGTTACAAATGACAAATTATGGGGTCGAAACCTGGGGTTCTGCCACTGGGGAGCAGAGATGCTCAGTTGCTTAGAAGAAAACTGGGGAAAATACTTGGGCGACGATGGAGGTTTGGAGACGTAGTTAAAGATTAATCGGATTTTTGCCACTCCAAGATTGTGAAGAAGACAACTGGCTTTCTTTAGGAGTCTAATGTTACTCTCATTGTTTTTTCCCAACAGGTGTCAAAATGGGTTTCCTCCTCTTTGCAGTCACAGCCCTCCATGTCCTGATTCTCATCTTACTCTTTGTAGCCACATTGGACAAGGTGAGACCAATAGGACCTCCAACTTTTCCAATTTCCCCATTAATCCTCCATTATCTCACTTTTTAAAGATGCTTTTAAAATGTCTCAGTTTTTCTCTGTCTCCCTCCCATTTTCCGATGTTGTCCTCAGCTGACTTCAATTACTTCCACCTGAACTCAAAGTGCGATACTCACTTAGCAGGTGGAAGGAAAGAGGAGGAATTGTGCATTTCCCAGGGCCCTCCCACACAGCCATATAACTCAGAATATTAAGGCAGAAAATCCCACATTATCTGCTTTGAACTGGGGGCCCTTCCACACAGACCTATATCCCACAATATCAAGGCAGAAAATCCCACATTATCTGAATGTGGACTCAGATAACCCAGTTTAAAGCAGATGTTGTGGGATTTTCTGCCTTGTTATTCTGGGATAACTTTGTGGAAGGGCCTTGGGCCTCCTCCACAAAGCTGGATAAAATCCCACATTATCTGCTTTGAATTGGAATATATGGCAGTGTGGCCTCAGATAACCCAGTTCAAAGCAGATATTGTGGGATTTTTGCCTTTATATTCTTGGTTATATGGCTGTGTGGAAGGGCCCTGAGTTATCTGAGTCCACACTGCCATATATTCCAGTTCAAAGCAGATCATGTAGGATTTTATTCAGCTGTGGGAAAGGGGCCCCATAAGTTGAGGCAAAAGCAGACTCCTGTAACTTCTCCTAGGGCCCTTCCACACAGCCCTATATTCCAGAATATTAAGGCAGAAAATCCCACAGTATCTGCTTTGAACCAGGTTATCTGAATCCACACTCAGATGTGGGATTTTCTGCCTTGATATTCTGGGATAAAGGGCTATGTGGAAGGGCCCTTAAAGAGGTGTCATAGATGCAGGCGAAATGTTAGGAGAGAATGCCTCTAGATTGAACATGGCCATATAGCCCGAAAAAACATACAACAACCCGGCCCCTAGTTTGTCTGTTTTCTCCTGTTAGTAACCTTTACCATCTTGGCTACATTCTGATATTGTTCCTGATTAATATGTTTTGTTTTTAATTTACATATTCATAAAAAACAGTGAAACAAATCTATATAGATGTATATATGCATGAACTAATACAATATTTCCTAACAACTATACAATATTTGTATTTGGTTATACTCTTCCCCTCCTCCCACCCCTACATTCTGATATTGTTTGGCCACATTTGTCCCAGTTTGTATTTGTGAAATAACAGAGATGACACAAAGAGGACAGAAGCTCGGGGCCTTTCGACACAGTCATATAACCCAGAATATCAAGGAAGAAAATCCCACAATATCTGCTTTGAACTGGGGGCCCTTCCAGACAGGTCCAATATCCCACGATCCGATCCCAGGTTTTCTGTTTATTCCAGATTACCTGGCAGTGTGGACTCATAAAATTCACTTTAAAGCAGAAAACCTGGGATCAGATCCTGGGATATAGGACCTGTCTGGAAGGGCCCTCCGTTATCTGAGGGCCCTTCCATACAGCCCTATATCCAAAATATCTGCTTTGGTTATTTGAGTCCACATCCTGATAATGTGGGATTTCCTGCCTTGATATTCTGGGATATAGGGCTGTGTGGAAGGGCCCTGAGTTCACACTGCCATATATTCCAGCTCAAAGCAGAAAATGTGGGATTTTATTCAGCTGTGTTGGATGGGGGCCTCAATCTCCATTGCTTTCTTCTTTGAACCAGGTTAGGGCCTGAGGCTGTTAGGAATGGTGGGAGTTGAAGTCCAAAACACCTGGAAGGCCTAGGTTTGCACATACCTGGTTTAGATGACATAGGCTATCATCCCCAACCATTGACAGGGCTGGCTGGGGCTAATGGGAGTTATATCCAAAATGAGAGGAATTGTATATAAAAGAAAAGCTGTGTTAATAGTCTGGGAACCAATTTTGCACCCTACAAAAATCATTTAATTTGACGTGGTTTGAGCCTACAAACCACTATACTACTGGATAGCGTGATTTTTAATAGTGAATGCAATGCTTTATATGTCTTAATGTGCATTTAATTTTAATTTTTAGCTTAAGTGTATTTTAACTGTTGGTTGTCCAAAGGCATTGAATAGTTGACTTGAGTCCCCTTTCGGGGTAGAGAAAGGCGGGATACAAAGAGAGTAAATAAATAAATACAACTCTGAAATCCAGGTTTGAATCCCTGCTCCGGTATGGAAACCGACAAAATAATCTTGGAAGAGTCATGCTCTCTTGGCCTGAGATGAAAGCAAAATCACATACGTTGTGATAAAATCTTGCCAAGATCATTTTTGCCTTAAGGTTGCCATAAATCAGAAAAGACAAGACTCACAACAAAACAGTGCTCCTTTATTTGGCTATCTAATGGCCCTTGCATATGTTAATCAAAGTGTGATAGATCATCTAGTTCCCCATCTCACTTGAGATAGAAGAAGAAGGCGGCAATCTGGGTATGTCTGAGAGATTGTTTTGCTTGCAGCATTATCTTGTTCCCCTTTTGAGAAAGGCTGCGGATCCTTGGCCTATCTGGCCTCGAGGCGAGCTTTCCTAATGCTTTTACTGCTAGATGATGCCAAATTGATTACGAAACTAATAAATATATTTATAAAGGCCTTGGATAGTTCTGGCACCTACTCCCTGTCTGGAGAATAGACTCCCCTGCCCTTGAAAATGCAGACAATGGGCCTTTCAGTCCAAGATAACGAGAGCTGGCCCCCCCAAAAAGGTAGAAAATGGGCTTATTTCCCATAAAGTCAAGGCATTATTTTGTAAAAATTATTTTGGCACTTGTAAACATTATTTGTAAACATTATTTTGGCACTCGAAGCAGAAAATACCTTTCTTAGCAGCACAAATATAATGGTAGTAAATGTGCTATTTGCTTCCTTTTTTGACGTCATCACACTAGAGAATGAATCCACTTTAAACCCGGGTTCTACCTCCTGCAGAATTCTGGGGTTTGTAGTTTAGGGAGGAGACTTTAACAGCCTCACTAAACTACAAACCCCAGAATTCTGCAGGAAGGAGAAACCAGATTTAAAGTGGATTCATTCTCTAGTGCRGGCATGAGCAAACTTTCTAACTTGGGGGGCCACAAGCTAGCACTCCTTTCTAGGAGAAGGAAGRGAAGGAGGAAGGAAAGAGAGAAGGAYGGAAGGAGGAAAGGGAGGAAAGGAAGGATGGAAGGAGAAAGAGGGAGAGAGGAAAGGAGGAGGAAAGAGGGAAGGAAGGAAAGACAAAGGGGAAGGAAGAAAAAAAATCAAAGGGTGAAAGGGAAAGATGGAAGGGATGGAAGAAGGGAGGGAGGAAGAGAAGGGCAAATGAAAGAAGGAAGGAAAGACAAAAGGGAAGGAAGGTAGGAGAGAGGGAAGGAGGAAAAAGGGAAAGAAGGAAAGATAAAAGTGAAGGGTGGAAGGAGAAAGGAAAAAGAGAAGGAAGGGAGGGAGGAAGAGAAGGATGGGGGAAGAAAGGGATGAAGGAAAGAGAGAAGGAAGGAAAGACAAAAGGGAAGGAAGGAGAAAGAGGGAGAGAGGGAAGAAAGAGGGAAGGATGAAAGGAGAAAAAGGGAGGGAAGGTAGGGAGATAAGGAGGGAAGGGAGAAGGAAGGAAAGACAAAAGGGAAGGAAGAAGAAAGAGGAAGAGATGGAAGGAGGAAGGGAAAAAGAGGGAAGGAAGAAGGGAAGAGAGAAGGAAGGATAGGATGGTGAGAGAGAGGAGGGCCTGAGAATAGAGCCCAAGGGGCTGCATCCGGCCCCCCCGGGCCTGGGTTTGTTCATACCTGCTCTATTGTGATGAAGTTATTTATGGCATACCTCAAGTCTGCTGCTTTGTGTGTCTTTCCTCCTCTTTCTAGGGTTACAGTCAACCCTCCATAAAGTTGTTTCTCAAACAACAGGCCAGATTCCAGTATGTTACATATACACAAATAGATATATATATACACAAACACACTTAAGCAAGCCTTTGAAAATGCAAAAGAAACTCATTCACAGACGCTCTCCGACATCTGCCTAATACAGCTCAAGCATTTCATAATCTATGTTAAGAGACAGCAGTTGTTTGTATCTCAAATAAGGAGTTCCTTTATCTTTGGGGATTTACAATGTATCCTTTGGCAGAGCTCTCCCAAAAGAGAGAGAAAGGAATTCTTTATTCGGGAGACAAGAAACGACTGCAGCTTCTGCTGAGGAAATCTCCTAAAAACATTTGAAACAGGAATGTGGAGACAATTTTTCTCAGCACCTTTTGAGGGCCCTTCCACACAGCCACATAATTCACGGCCCTTCCACACAGCCCTGTATCTCAGAATATCAAGGCAGAATAACCCACAATAATACCGAATGCATGATACTCCACTTAGAAAAAATGAAATGCAAAGATACAGAATGTGGGGCGCCTGGCTCGAGAGCAGTACGTGTGAAAAAGATCTTGGAGTCCTCGTGGACAACAAGTTAAATGTGAGTCAACAATGTGATGCGGCAGCTTAAAAAGCCAATGGAATTTTGGCCTGCATAAATTGGAGTCTAGTGCCTAGATCCAGATCCATGTTATCCCTCTATTCTGCCTTTGTTAGACCACACCTGGAATACTGTGTCCAATTCTGGGCAGCACAATTGAAGGGAGATGTTGACAATCTAGAATGTGCTCAGAGGAGGACAACTAAAATGATCAAGGGTCTGGAGAACAAGCCCTATGAACAAGCCTTAAATAGCTGGGCATGTTTAGCCTGCAGAAGAGAAGGCTGAGAGGAGACATGATGAGGGCCATGCATAAAGATGTGAGAGGAAGTCATAGGGAGGAGGGAGCAGGTTTGTTTTCTGCTGCCCTGGAGACTAGAATGCAATGGAACAATGGCTTCAAATGACAGGAAAGGAGATTTCACCTGAACATGGGGAAGAACTTCCTAACTGTGAGAGCTGTTTAGCAATGGAACTCTCTGCCCTGGAGTGTGGTGGAGGCTCCTTCTGTGGAGGGTTTTAAACAGAGGCTGGATGACCATCTTTCAGGGGTG